CACACATACACACACACACACACACACACACACACACACACACACAAAAGGCTGTATCAAATTTTAACACACCAGACCTCCACTTTAAGTTCAGCCAGAAAACTGATTCACTTATCAATCAGGCCAAATCTGGAAAAAAACATAGAAAAGCACATAACACTTACAAAGGGCAAGAACACTAACAATTATGAGTGTCTACTCTGTTCCTGGCCCTTTCCGTATGTACGATTTCGTATTCAAAAGAGCTCTATGAGGTAGATGAGGAAACCAAAGTTTCAATTTATAGATGTGGAAACCAAAGTTCAAATAGTTACTTTACCAAAGGCCACACAGATGGTGCAAGATCAAGTGACAATATTACTAACCATGTAATCTTAGCAACAAAAGATCTGTAATTCTGCAAAGAAAAATATAACTGCCACTAATAAAAGAAAAAGCAAGCAACCAATTTTGAACTCAATCAGGAAAAATGAGAACTTGTTTCTGAGCTACAAGGGAAAACAATTAGTTTTCCATAATTTCAATTAGTCCCAGAAAAGAATGAGTGGCATTCATAAACCTCACAATAACTTCCATTTGCAGGAACTAAGTGAACAACTTCCATTTATATTAAGTAAAATATTCATAAGCTAAATACATGATTTCCCAAAGACATGGAAAAAGTATTTTGTCTTTCTACCAAGCTTTCACTAGATATGCCTCCAAAGAACTTAACCGCATATAACTAAGGAGATATCTATACTGCCCTTACAGGCAAAGCTCAAAAATTCTCGTTTCTTAATTTTGTAGTGGCTACAGAGAATAAAATGGAATCTGGAACTCTAATAAAGGTCTACAGGCTCCAGCATAATAAATACTAAACATTATAGCCCATATTGTAATTGAGATGTTGACAGAGAGATCTAAATATTGAATCAAGCCAACTGCCCCCTTGGCAAAAGAGTAACGAATAAAGTTGTGTTCCTAAAGATTATTAACCCGTCCTCAAAAGATGATTCTGGTTAACTAAATATTTCTGCATATCTTGGAGTAAACAGAACTCCAGTGTGTTGTTTGTTTTTAAACCTGACACTTTCCATTTTGAGTTTTATAACCTGATGTCTTTAGTTGTCTTTAAAAGTTTGTTACTTAAAACTGTAGAAAACTAAATTACTTAAGTGCAAGACAAAGAATTCAACCTGCCTTTAGTATTCGAACTAAAGACTTCCTGTTAACAGCAGGATTCCTTCCTTTGGCACATACAATAAGTGCCTGACTGATATGTTGGCCAAAATGTTCAAGGTCAAATTTCACAGCTAAACAGAACTTGCTAGGTCCCAGAACTCTTTGAAATATTATACAATTCATTTTTGTGCTTCTGCTAAATACAATAAGATGAAGTTAACCCTTGAGATAGGTGTTTCCGGAAAATCTAAATAACCAATTGCCAGGAATTACTACTCTCAATAACTCTTTACAAAACTATTTCCTTTCATACCTTTTTATGCTTATTACATTAGTAACAGCAATCAAAATTTAAAGTTAGTGAAAATAAGTCTGTCTATAGCACATTCTTACCGTCCCACAAACTTACTTTCTCCTTTCAATTCATTCATGTTCTAGCATAAATCTTGAAAATATAATAAGTTTCAAGTCTTTTCAAGATGAATTCAAGAAGCTTCCAGCTACTGTTTCATATTCAGATTTTTTTTTTGCGTCTGGAAAAGACAGTTGTTAGGCTTTTCTTTTTGGTAAATAAATGATTATTAATTCTCCTCTGCCACTTAAGAGACTCCTTCAAAGAAGTAGTTTTTTCCTAAAAGGTAAAACATTAGATCTTATTGCTCTGATATAAATTAATGTTAAGTAAAATTTCTCAAGCATGTATCTCTAATAAATGCAAATCTTTTTAAAAACGATATTCTTGAATTTGAAAAAGTATCCAACTAACTTTTATTTATTTCTAAATCATGACTGGAACATTTTTTTAAAGTCATTAGACTTACAAAAGCTGTTAGATTGCTCCTAAGAGAGGATCAGTAGAAATTTGGTTCTTAAAAGTATTTTCTCAATATTTTGCAAATCAGAATTTTAAAACAAGATTTTAACTGGGTATTATTAATTCTTCATACTTATATTCAGGCAGAAAAGTGTTATAAGCTATCAGTGGTGTTTGCAATATACACAAGGTGAGTTCAAAGACCAACAATCTGTAGTAACAGATTGTTATAAGCTATTATTCCTGCTATCCTTCAGCTACCAAACTGTCTTAAAATTCCAAATTTGAAATTTATGGATTCATTCACTTCTTCAACCATTTGTTTTTGGCGTTCCTCCTACATAGCTAGGTGCTGTGCTAATTCTATGTGACTGCTCTTTCCCTCATCCCTCAAACCCCATTAATGGCCAAATCCCATAATACCAATGTGTCTCACTTCTCCCCTTTCCAAATGTCCCCAGCCTAAGTCAGGTCCTCATTAACATTTAAAATATTAACTACTGAACATGCACCAAATGGAAGATGAGAGTCACTGAAACTACTCATAAATAGCATATTACATTAAGAAACTCATTCAAGTAAATAAAAAGCAGGGATAAAAAAAAAAAACTGTACAAGGCCGGACGAGTGGCTTGTTGGTTAAGAGTTGGCTTGGGAGTGCGAGCTCTGAGCAGCAAGCCCACAGGTTCGGGTCCCACATGAGCCAGTGACGCTGCGTTCTACAGCTAAGATGGTGAACAACATCTCGACCTAGAGATGGGCTGCTGTGAGGCGACAGCA